AGGAGACAGTAAATCAGCATTGGTGAGGAAAAGAGCAAGGGGAAGATATGAGTTCTTATTTAAAATATATTCATCTGCTTTATAACCCCAAAGTAGAGATGGCTGTATTGAAGTGGAAGGCTTCATTTGTAGGACTGAGTTCACTGAAGATGTGTTTTATGCCAGTATTCATTTTCCCAACTTTTATTTGCTTCCCGTTAGCCAAAAGTTGGGGAGTTAAGTTTATTGCTTGAAAGCAAGAATAGATTGCCTTAGCTGTCTCTTCACAAAAATATTCCTTGCTTCAAATGATGACTTAGAAAGCACTAGTTGAATCCTAGGAAAAAATCCTATTTTATTGGCACACATGTTGAAGAGAATCGTTTTTAAAACATTCAATTAGTTCTGCCTTTGAGATAGAATTTAAACAAACCCAAAGCAATGGGATTAAATTCATGTAAAAATCTAACTGTTGCTCAGGAACCAATTCTTTTCCCACTCAAACTACTCCAAGGATAATCACGCTGACTCTTGGCTGTATTCCAGCCAAAGCAGATACGTGCTTTTAATTCATAAATCAGACCATGGTACTTCCTTGCCTAAAACTCTCAGTCTTCTCTAGCATATTAGAGTACAATGCAAACCGCTAACCATGGTCTGCAGAGCCCTGAGCATCTGTCCTTGGCTTACCTGGCCAACCTCATCTCATCTCACTTTTCTTCTCATCTGGTTCATCACATTCACGTTAACTGGCTTCCTCTCAGTTCCTTGGAACATTTTAAGCTCTTCTCTGCCAAGAACTGCTCCTCAATTCTGCCTTAGACATCTCTTCCCCTGACAATATTCTGGAGAAACTCCTCTCTGTCCTTCCAGGATGTACCAGATGTCACTTCCAGACAAATTATCCTCAACCATTCTTCCTGGGTTATGTTCCCCTCCATGCTTTATTCTGTAATTCATTACCATCTTAATTGTCTCTACAGCATGCTTACAGAAAAGTCCTAATTACATAGATACACATATGTAAAATTGGAGATAAACAATATCTTTCATATTCCCCACTGGATTGCAAGATCCAGGAGAGCAGGAATCATGTGTGCTTCTTTCATTACTGACTATCCAGAACTGATGCCAGCGTCAGGAGCACAGTAGGTCCTCAGTCAATATTTGCCAAAGTGAATTGTCAGTGTCAAGCCAAACGCCTGGCCCAACATAGGCTGTCAATAAACAGTGTTTCATTGAGTTTATTTTGTTCCCATAGAATTTAGCAAATTCACATAAGCTGCATACATTGATTTTAAGTGCTGAACTCTCTGTCCACAACAACACGATCTCTGCAAATTTTGCTGAGATGACAAATGACAATTCAGGACAAATGAATAAGGAGGATGCCTGAAAGCCTACACTAACTTTGGAATATCTTCTCAGGTGAAAATGTCATCAAGGCAAATTTTAACTCTCAATATCAGACTTCGTTCTTGGTCCCTTGCTCTCCTGACCTATTTCTTGTTTTGGTGAGAACTTTTTTTTTTTTTTTTGTCTTTGTTTGGGGGTAACCACAATGTGTTAATAAAACTGAGCTCCTTTATTTGGTTTTAAACAAGTAGCTGATAGGTTTTGCTTTGGGTTTTCCAAGGCTCTTGTTGGAAGCAGCTGAAATCACAGTCACTGAGCCTCTTTCACAGTTCACTGGACCCAGCGCCAAGAGACCATGTGGGATTTAGAGTGACAACACTGTTGTGGGGAAATGTTTTGGCATGAGAACGCATAGCTGTGATTCTGCCATTAAGGCCCATTGTTTAGGCTCAGTGAAAATTAATTTGCAAAAACATCCAGGTCTGTTGTATGTTCTGGTTTATATGTAAATGAGGAGATTGTGTGAAAAGGATGCCAGGGATGAACCCTTTCAAACATTTTCAGACCAGGTGTCCATTAATTAGAGTGATTCTCACTCAATTTTACCGTGCATTTACATTTTTTTGCTCAACAGTAAGTTGTATCAGTCAAGATAGAAATAGACACAGCATTAGCTGATAAGTTGCAATATTATGTTGCTTTAAAAAATGACAGGGTTTAAATTTTTGATTTATTGGGACAGTCATGGAAACTAAAAGAAAATTAATTCAACACTCATTGTCTAAAGGCGGAAATAGAAGCAGTGCCATAGCATTCTGTAAATGGCACATGTGGTCCCAGAGGAGACATGGGTTGTTTATAATCTGAAGGATCAATCATGATCATGTGGAGGAGGTTAAGTATCGGAACCCTGGGGATAACCAAGAGTTCTGCACAAAAAGGACTTCTTTAAAAAGAAGAAGAAAAAAAGTTAATTTATTTGAGAGAGAGAGAGAGAGAGAGAGAGGAGAGGAGGGGGGAGAGAGAAAGAAACATTCAGAGAAAGGGAGACATTGATTTATTGTTCCACTCATTTATGCATTTATTGGTTGATTCTTGTATGTGCCCTGACTGAGGACTCGAGCCTCTGCCTTGATGGCCTCAATTTCATGTATTTATTTAAATCAGATGATCTCTGAGGTGGCATCTATTTCTGAAAAAATGATTAATTTATGGCATATTTAAAACCAGCCATCCAATGGCAAATGAGCTTAGTAACCCCTTCAGGAATGGAATAGTAAGGACACAGCTGAGCAGGGGCGAGTGTTTCTCAATTGTTCCTGAATTGGCCGAGCAGGTGTTTAGAACGGGAGACACAGGCCTTGCTAGTGGAGTGGGGATATAAAACCTGGAAACTGCTTGTCACAAAATCATGCCCAATAAAAGCCCAGGCAGATGTTCCCATAAAGTTTTTGTGGTTTGTGTTTTCATGGGGGTGTTTAGGGGGGTGAAGTTTATTAGTGAGGCACAGCAGTATGAGCCTACCAGCATTGCCATGTAACAGTCTCGCAATCCGTTTATAGGGTTGGGATTATTTTGCTAATGATTTTCATGGATGTAGATGAAAGGCAATGTGCACCCAGCTGTAACTTGTTTATCATGAAGCTGCCTTCCTGGAAAGGCTCCCCAGATATAGATGGCCTGCTTGCCAAAGTGAGTATTGTCCCCCAGACTTTTAAAGATAAAGGGGTTGTATTAATTTCCTATTCTGGCTATATCAATTTAGTTGTTTAACACAACACATATTTCTCCTCTTACAGCTTAGAAGTGAGGCATCAGAAATGTGCCTTATGGGGTTAAAATCAGTGTCAGACAGCCAGAATCCTTCCATTTGAGTTCCTGAGAGGGACAGGTACATTTGAGAGGCTTGTGATTTGACTATTGGGCTCATCTTCTGGAGGAATTACTCCCTGGCACCATTTCCACAGCTGTAGGGTTTGGTGTCCCTCCTATAGAGTCTCATAAAACACTCCACTTAACATCACACTCTCCCCACAGTGTGGCATTGTTATTGAGTGTATCTGCCCTCCTCATAATTCGGCATAACCCAGGGCTTAGCACATGATGCGAGTTCACTAGACTGCTGTGGATGCTGTGGATGGTTGAGTGAATTATCCTATCTAATAAAAGAGTAATATGAAAATTGACTGTCACTCCAACACACAAGATGGCTGCCCCCATGTGGGTACAAGATGGCCATTACAGATGGCTAGCAGGAGAGGGCAGTTTGGAGGGACTAGGCCTACAAGGGAGGACAATTGGAGGTGATCAAGCCTGCAGGAGAGGGCAGTTAGGGGTGACTAGGCTGGCAGAGGAGGGAAGTTGGGGGTGACTGGGCCTGCAGGGAAGTGCAGTTGAAGGGGACCCAGGCCTGCAGGGGAGAGCTGTTGGGAGAGAGGAAGACCAGGCCTGCAGGAGAGGGCAGTTGGAGGGGACCAGGCCTGCAGCGGAAGGCAGTTAGGGGCAATCAGGCTATCGGGGGAACAGTTAGGAATCAATCAGGCTGGCAGGGGAGTGGTTAGGAATCAGTCAGGCTGGCAGGGGAGCGGTTAGGGACAATCAGGAAGGCAGGCAGGTGAGCAGTTGGGAGCCAACAGTCTGGATTATGAGAGGGATGTCTGACTGCCCGTTTAGACCCAATCCTACTGGGATTGGGTCTAAACAAGCAGTTAGATATTCCTCGAGGGGTCCCAGATTGGAAAGGGTGCAGGCTGGGCTGAGGGACACACCCCCATGCACAAATTTTGTGCACCGGGCCTCTAGTAGTTATATAATCTCAGGGACATATGGAGAACATATGGATCCAGGACCTCAATGGAGATCCTGAGAGGGGCTGGAAACATCTGTTGATATAGACTTTGATGTTCACTGACATAAAATTAGTAGGTTTGCTTATTCTTGCTCTGTTTAACTTTCTTAAACAAAAAACGTATGACTGGAAGTTGCCATTGAAGTTTATTTTAATAGATGTTTTAATGTTACACGGAAGATGGTTAGACATTTTCCCTTTGGAGATTAGCACTCAGCAATCAGTGTCTTTTTTTTTTTTTTTTCATGCCTATTCAAGGAATCAACTTGTCAGCTGCTGATACATTAGTTTAATGGCACATTGTGGGACTAAACAAAGTCAAATTGCCAAGCTCCTGTCTGGCATTGACCGAGGGTCATAAAAACCATTCATTCCCTCAGTTTGATCTTGACAACTCCAAGAATCTCACCTTGTCTATATCAAATGCCATGTTCTGCTATATAGGATAAGGTTGATGTTCACATTATTCCTGCCAAATGGGAAAGCAGAGCATAATTGCAGGAACTGCTAAATATTTGATGAGCCTCAGAGATGTTGCAAGTATGATGTGGTTGGACTATGCCACCTTCCTCCTGAGGCATTAATGCCAACTGTACCCACCAGAGAGTCCATAGGATGAATGGGTCTGCAATAAGAAAACCTGACCTTAAAGATCATGAAGGTAGGACTTAGAGAAATTGACTAAAATTCAGAAAAATACACCCAAGGACCTCTATGGATGACTCTTTGATTTTACCACTTTAGTACCATAGCTCTCTCTACGTTGTTTCCCCAACCTTCTACCCAGCCTGATTCTACAATTTCTTTTTGTTTCCAGTTCCTTCTTTCTGGGGATTGGTGAACTCAGCTTGGAATCTTTGCTCCGTGGGGAAACGGCAGTCTCCAGTCAACATAGAGACCAGCCACATGATCTTCGACCCCTTTCTGACGCCTCTTCGCATCAACACTGGGGGCAGAAAGGTAAGCAGCCATGTTGCTTCCTTTGTGACGTTGAGGAAGGGTGTGGGTGATACTGATTTTGAAAGCCAATCCTCCAAGGCTGGATCTGTGCAATGAGTTTGTCTTCTCACCTAGACCCCAGGCCTACTGCCAGCACATCTAATTATGTCTAAACTGTGTAGTGTTTTTTTTTTTTTTTCTTCCTAGCTAGTGCAGCCCTAATGTTTCTAATTACTTTGTAATCCCTGGAGGTTGTCTGAGGTTCTAGCCTTTGGTACCCTATAAAAGTCAGAACACAGAGTTGCCTCCGCTGTATATTATGCTGGGAAAATCCTTTTCCCCAGAAACCTCTTTACTGGAGCTTCTGTTAACCTGAACAAGGTGAAAATAAAATTTTTCACGAAAGTAAAATAAGACATTTATCATTTAAAAAACAACCACCACAAAAAATCACCCTAGATGATTTATAAGAAAATCAATAATTCATCTTCCTCGAAGGATCTTGCTGGCTAAGAATCCTAGCTCCTGCACAGAAATGCTGAGCTGTGCTGTGTGCATCTCACTCCGACAACCCTCCCCTTCTCCCTCCTCCCCCTATGATGGGCTCCTCCTTGTGAAAGGACATGTAGTTATGCCCATGGGGTCTTCTCAGTGCTGGAATGAAGCATTTCTCTTGCTGATTCATTTCTACTTGGCGACCTTTTCTTGTTGAGTTGATTGTTGAAGCCACAAACACACATCCATAGAGAAAATTGTGTCTGAAGGTCATTTAGCTGTTGGGAACTCAAGAGGAATGGGAGATCAATTGTGAGCAAGACATCAATTGGGCTTACAATTATGGACAACTTTTGTTACTACGGGCGGCTGGTTCTCCAGGGTGTGGGCTCCTTGGACTCTACTCTCTTCTCCACTTTGCGGAGTATTGACCTTACTTACTACAAACTTTGTAATTTTTTCCCTTATGAAATTGGAATTTTTTTCTATTGCATAAATGTCACTAAAAAAAAGGAAAGAAAATCTAATGACTAATCAAAGTGTTGTTAGTGTCCTTGACTTCAGTCACAGGGAAAGTTATAACAGACCTTGCATGTGGCAAAGACTATTTAGCCATGTAGTATTTGTGTGCTGTTTTAAATATAACTTGGAAAGCATTTCCGTAGCAGGGTTCTATGCAGTTGGAATAGTTTATTTTTCTGGTTTCATAGAAAACTAACCTAGTCTAATTATTATTCCATGTTCAGTTTTATTTTTACAAACCCCGAAAGGAACTTGTTGTGGTTTCTATATACATCTCTCTCTAAAAAGGGAACTCATTCAAGTCAAGTCATGAGGGTGGATAAGGTCACTGACCAGTATTTAAGGACAAGTTGTCCTGTTAATTAAATCCTCAATTATCTTTCTTTCTTAGAAAGGGTGATGGAGGGAATAGCTGTATTCCAGGCAATGGGAAAAGCCCAAAGTAGAATGAGGGTTGGTAACTGATGTCCAGGAATTATCTGAAAGATGACCAGCAAGGCTGAAGGACAGAGACCAGAGAGGAGGGGGGGGGGGGCGGCTTGTGGATAGAAGAAGGCAGAGGGCAGATCCTGGGGCTGTGCTAAGGAACTGGGTCTTTTTCCTGAGTTATGGCAAGCATTTAAAGTGTTTTTGCATAAAGGGTACATTGAAAGTGGGATGGAAAGGTGGAAAGCTAACACAAAGAATGGGGATATAATTTTCAATAGACCATCTTAAAGGGAAATGTTGTGAAAGGGGGGAAAAAAACTCATTTCAACATAGCTTCCCCCTAAAATTCATTGGGAAGGAAGGGACAGAGAGAGCCTGGTGGTAAAAATCACTCTTATATTTTGTTCTGGTGTGTGTGTGTGTGTGTGTGTGTGTGTGTGTGTGGTGGTGGTGGTGTTGTTGTTGTTGTTGTTGTATTAAAAATTCTCAATTCCGTGAAGTGTACCTGATCCAAGTCAATTTTCAAATGCATTGGAGTTTGGAATTTTGGAAACATTTACTTTCGATGATGTACATATTTATATCTGGCATGATTTGTGTTGTCAGCTGTTTGAAGAGCTGAGAGCTGTCTGATGGGTCCCTTTGCATTTGTGAATGGTAGAAAAAAAAGACACAGAAGGTTAGGAGAAGGAAAAAGCTGGTAAATGAAATTCCTAAACCTGATAGACAGTAGCAAAAATGTGCTGGAGAATGGTCTAAAAGGTGATTTTTAATGAGGTGAAGATTTATTTTGGAAGTGAGAATTCAAAGCCTTGCTCTGAATTTTTGCTGTGAGGAAATGTGTATCCAACTCAAAAGGCTTAAAAACCTTCCTGTGAGGCTGGGAGGCTTCCTGGACTTGAGCAATTTGGAGTCTGAGATAAGGTGGGTATCAGCATGTTGAATGCATCCCAGTCATTGTGTGTTTTATGTCGCATCTTTATGCGTGAGCATTATTCCTGCCCACATTTAAATGTCGCTACTTACAGACCCATGAAGCAGCGCTGCCACGGTCCTTGCCCTGGATTACTGAGTTTGTTTTAACATGTTTGGCCTGGCACAGGCTCAGATGATGAACTGAGGGCTTTTCTTAGCGAGGGGTGAAACTCAACCTGAACACAAGAATACAAAGAATAATAAAAGTCACATGAGCATCAAAACATGCTGTGTCTTGAGTATAATAGAGGGTATTCATTGTACCTGAGCGGTGAGATTTCGTTTACCTTATGTTCCATGGAAAGTTGTAAGCTTGTGTTTGTCTTTTTTTTCATAAAAGATAATATTTTTTATCCAGTTCCTTCCTGATACATAGAACTTTTATAGATAAAATCTTAAGTTCCTTGTTTATGGTTCTTTTAGGATGTAGAACTTGGCCTATAGTCATACTTGCCTTCTTTTCCCCTGTCTTAGGTTAAGAGCTCCTCAAAATAAATATGTTTTTATATTTTTCACGAGAGGCCCAGTGTTGGGGGGTCCGTCAGCCCTGCCTGCCCCCTCTCTCAGTCCAGGAGCCCTCAGGGGATTTCCTACTGATGGCTTAAGGAGAGGGCCTACGCCTCAGTCTGGCCTCCCTCTGCAGGAGGCGACCAGGCTGATCAGAGGAAGGTGCTGCTGCTGCTGTCACTGCCGGCCATGGCAGCTGCAAAGCCTAAGCCCTGAGCTTGCCACCACTGTGGCTTTGTCCGGATGGACATCCGGAAGACTTGCCCTAATTAGCATATTACCCTTTTATTAGTATAGATTTTATATCACTGGAGTTATCTGTGATCATACTGGTTGATCTGAATTGAAGCAAGATTACCCTTGATTACAAGGAAAGGGTTTTGTGGCATTAATCAAAAGTTGCGTTGGCTTAAGTGGGGAAAATGCAGGAAAGCCCCATGGTGAGAAAAGTAAGCTCACTATCAACAGAATCTGTCACTGGAAACCAGTGTCCTACACTAAAAACTTTCCTAAAGCATGGCTGAAATACTAAGCTGGAAACAATAAGACATGTGAAATAGTTTGTGGCTTAAAATTTTACCGCTTCTCTACTTTTTTAAGTTTCCCCATGAACCTGACAGCAAAATTTTTGCAGTTCATAAGCGTATTCTGAAACCTTTTCTGAGTGAGGCTTAATGTTATATTAGGGGAGAAAGCATAGAGATACAAAAGTAAATGGCAATAATCCATTTAAATAACTGTTTGAGAGAATAGTGGAATAGATACTAAGGAAGCAGTGAAACGATTAATTAGAAGATCGATCCATTTGGCATTAATTTTAATGGGGGTAAGAAGTTGGGGTGGTTGAACCAGGCTTTGCAGAGATGCTAGAATATGGGCTCCCAGGGAAAAGTAGGCAGTATGAAATTACGTTGGCAGGTGAGCCTTTGAATGTCAGGTGTTCTGGCTCTACCTGTGTCATGAAAGCAAATAGTAGCGATAGCATTTTTGCCGATTACATATGTGGCTGCGGTGCTGATCTGAAACGTTCACAGATAAGTACTCTTACCATTTGGAACTTATTAGCGGTCTTGAAGTACCAGGCATGGGTCCCTTTACACTGAAGCTTTGGGATGCCAATGGTCCATTAAACTTCATGAGTATTTGTAGGACAGAGTAGGCCTTTAAGAGTCTTTCGGGGCCTGTTGCTCTCCAAGCCCAGGTGCAGAGCCTGAGATGGAAAGTCTTTTGCAAACGACTTGCTGAGGAAGTGTGGCCAAAGGTAGGCCTCGAAGCAATGGGGGGAGCAGGCCAGGGGTAACCCTTTCCACAAAACCCTTTTCTTGTAATCAACAAGTAAGTGAGCACGTATAATAGATAAATAAGAGGTAGTGTAATCTCTGTTCAGCAAAGATGCGGGTTCAAGTGGGATCCACCTGGAGCCTGACGCCACAGGGAGCTCTTGAGCATGAGTGGGGGCTGATTGCAGATTCTCACCCCTAGAATCTCGGGAGGCCGCCTACAAGGGAGATACCCTCCCTGGCATTCCCAGGCAAGGCACCTCTTATCCTCTGGAGTCCTGGAGAATTCCCTCACGCTGGCTTTCAAGAGCCCATTTATGAATCTCTTCCTGAAACTGCGTTTATTAGGTTGGTAACTTGAAATTCACCTTGGTAGGAGTGTTTACACCAGTGAAATCTGTCCATTAGGGCTTTTTTTTTCCCCCCTTGAAAGTTGGTTGATAAGTATTTACCGCTACAGTTCTTAGAGGCCTAGGACATTTCCCAGGAGGAGGGTGAGTTGAGTATTTGCAAAGGCAAGGTGGGTATATGGGTACAGAATATGCCTTGATAGTCACAAAGCACATTTTCAACTTCTCCAGTTTAAGTCACCACTACCCCAGAACCAGGGGTGCCCGTGTCCCTTCACCTCCAGCCCCTCCACCAGCCTCTTGTCAATGATACTGTTTCCAGCAATATAGCTTGTCACACTGTGAATACATACCATCAACATGTTTGAGAATCTGAAGGGAGAAAATATGGAGGAGCTTTTAGGCTTTTCCAAGTAAGTGATCCTTCTTCAACCCACTGCCTTTTAATGATTCTCTTTGCAGT